CGTGTTGGACATCAGAGTAGTAAGTCAATATTTATTGCGATTAAATTCAGAACGATATTGTACTCCAGCATATGACCTTCAAAAGTAAGAAAAAATTGTAGCGCATGGCTGTTAGCTGTACAACCATATTGCCCACAACGGCGAAATTTAATAGATAACTTGAAAATGCAAATGAAGCACATCTGTTTTAAATAGATTAGTAACCTTACTTTCAACACTTAGTCCAAAAAATTGAAAATTCATTTAATTTTGCTGAAGGTTCACTATGTCGGATGTTTAATCTTTTGTCCAGACTGAACATCGTTGCTCAGGTGCAGGATACATGTTCTGGCCCAGCGAGCAGCCAAAATCTTTGCCAAATGCAGGAATATTTTGTACAACCTGGTTTACTCGGCATACATGTGGAGAATGGACGTCAGTGAGTAGCTGGAAATTTACTCTAGTGTTAAAAAATAACAATTATATTATAAATCATGGGAATTACTTGTCTGATTAGACGTTTTTCGCTGCTACTCTCGCACCAACCAAACCCATTCACAATCCAAAACAATTGATTATGCGAGAATCGCTCTAATCCAGGCAATCTAAAAGTGGATGAAGATGTGAGAAACTATGTTGCAATTAGCAGATACTTACCTTGGCTCCTCCTCTTCTAGGTTACTCGCGTATTTTTGGTAAGCTCTATATGCTGCTTGTACTCCTGCAATCATTCCTTCATTAGTCTGCCGATAACTTTTTTTCTCTGAACTTATTATTGTTTTCAAGTCCTATCCTATACCAGTTTTAATTCAAATTCCTTGGAACAATTTTTTGGAATGGATGAAAAGTCTGCACCTCCAATATCTGCAATGTTTTCTCCTTGTGTCGTCGCACCATTTGCACATTGTATTGTACCATTCTTTTCTGGGCAACACTGAGTGCTAAAATTTTTCTTTAACTTAGGCAGAATTTTTCCTCTTCTAAGGCAACATGGAGAAAATGAAGGTATGGAGCTGAATTATAAAGTATTTTCTGATTTCATAACACACTTGTATTGTGTGACAACGCATTGTGCCATATCTCTGAAGCCCTTCTTTGACAGTGTATCCAACCATCCAC